ATGTTGCTGCTGATCTGTTCCATGTTGCTGCTGATCTGTTTCAATGTTGCTGCTGATCTGTTCTATGTTGCTGCTGATCTGTTTAATGTTGCTGCTGATCTGTTTCATGTTGCTGCTGATCTGTTTCATGTTGATGTGTTCATGCGTGCTCATCTGCTCACAGACTCATGTTCATGTTTGTGCTGATGTTCAATGTTTTATGTTATGAGTGCTTAGTGTATATTTAGTTGATGTTTTTCTTAGTTCATATCTTAGATGTTATTACTGTTTTTCTTATACATTTTATTGTTGGATGTAACTGGGACCCTGTGGACATAATTTTGTTCCACCACATGAACCACATGAGGTGTGCAGGACAAATAAATCTCTCTGATTCTCTGAATGGTTGTTTGTCTCGTTTGTCTCTATGTGTCCCTGTGATGGACTGGAGACCTGTCCAGGTGTCCCCTGCCTTTCAAACAGTGACTGCTGGATATGGGCACCAGTGACCCCCGTGACCCAAAAGGGAAGAAGACGTTAAAGATAATGGATGATGGATGGCCAGATTTTTTTATTTTGTATTATTTTTATGTTATTTTTTTTAACTACCCATGTACAACTCTAGTTTCTCATTAGTTGTTACTGACCCAGATACACCAGCGGGTGCAGGAGCCGGTGCACCCACTGATGGCGTCCTGCTCTGGGATAACCCATCAGCTGTGGAACATCTGATGCTGCAGCCTGCATCATGTGGAACAGCTTTTTAGTCCTAAACGTTTACTTGTACACATTAAAGTGAGGTTTTGCTCTTTAGATCCAAACTAAAACAATTTAGTCAAATGAGAGGAGAGGCGGGACTCTGCAGCGACATCTGGTTGTTACAAGGTTCTGTTTATAGGGTGAGTTGAAGTCGGTCTCTGTAGATTTTTAGAGGCTCTCAACTATTTTAAAGAACAGCACCTGGTGAGCTAATATCAAAATCTAAAGTATAGTGATGGAGGTAAAAAGAAAAAACATCTCTGAGAGGAATAAATTGTTTTACGATATAAATTTGGGCTTAATAGCGTGTAGGGACACAAGAGTGTAGCAAAGTTACTGTGTAGTTAGGAAAGAATTTGAAAACATTCTGACAAAATTAAAAAAGAAGGATTTTAATTTTTTTTTTTTAATCATGTTTATTGACTGCATCAAGACAAATTAATACATAAAACAATGACAAAAAAACATTTGGCTGAATTTTCCCCAAAGACGATACTTTTTGTCTTTTCCCTCTTCAGGGGTCTACACAGCGTGTCATCCTTCTCCGTCTCACTCTGTCCTCACTCTGTCCTCACTCCATCTACCTCCATGTCTTCTCTAACTGCATCCATATGTCTCCTCTTTGTCTTTTTCCAGCAGCTGCATTTCTAACATCCTTCTACCAATATACCCACTGCCCCTCCTCTGGACATGTCCACACCACTGTCCCTCCTCTGGACATGTCCAAACCACTGTCCCTCCTCTGGACATGTCCAAACCATCTCAGTGTGTCCTCTCTAACTTTATCTCCCAGTTGTTCAACCTGTGCTGTACCTCTGATGATCTCATTCCTGATCTTCTCCATCCTTGTCTCTCCTAAGGAGAACCTCAACATCTTCATTTCTGACAGTTCCAGTTCTGTCTCCTGTCTTTTAGTCCATGTCTCTGTCTCCAGACCATACAACAGAGCTGGTCTCACCACTGTCTTGTAAACTTTGACCTTTGCCGACACTCTTTTTGGTCACAAATCACTCCTGAAACTTTTGTCCATCACTCCATCCTGTCTGGACTCTCTTTTTCACATCTTTACCATTACTGTCCATTGTTTTTTGTTGTTGTTGTTGTTATTGTTGTTTTCTCTGCTTGCTTTTGTTTTAAATTTATTTTCTTTTTATGTAACTTTGTTTATTCTTTTATTATACTACGTTCAATAAAATTAAACTCAAACTCAAACCTGGACAGTGGACCCCAAGTCCTTGAAGTCCTGCACCTTTGTGACCTCTGCTCCTTGTAGCCTCACTGTTCCACCTCCTCCCTCTCATTCACACACATGGACTCTGTCTTACTACGACTGACTTTCATTCCTCTTCTTTCAAGTGCATACCTCCACCTCTCCAAGTTCTCTTCCACCTGTTCCCTGTTCTCACCACAGATCACAATGTCATCTGCAAACATCATAGTCCACGGGGATTCCTGCCTGACCTCATCTGTTAGTCGGTCCATCACCAGGGCAAACAAGAAGGGGCTCAGAGCAGATCCTTGATGCACTCCCACCTCCACCTTGAAGCTATCTGTCACTCCTACAGCACATGTCACCACTGTCCTGCTGTCCTCATGCATGTCCTGTACCAGTCTAACATACTTCTCTGCCACTCCAGATTTCCTCATGTAACACCACACCTCCTCCCTCGGCACTCTGTCATATACTTTTTCTAAATCCACAAAGACACAATGGAGTTCTTTCTGACCCTCTCTGTTCTTCTCCATCAGCAAAGATGGCGTCTGTGGTGCTCTTTCTTGGCATGAAACCATATTGCTGCTCACAAGCTAAGGACTAAGCCCCTCCATTTGCAACTGGGTACTAGACTTCTTAACAAACAGACCACAGTTAGTGAGGATCCAAAACTTCTCCTCCTCCACCATAACCCTCAGCACTGGCTCTCCTCAGGGCTATGTGTTGAGCCCCCTTCTGTTTACTCTGCTCACATATGATTGTGCAGCTACCCATCCAGGCTGTCACATTGTAAAGTTTGCAGATGATACAGCGGTGGTGGGATGCATCACAAACAATGATGAGTCCAGCTACAGGCAGGAGGTGGAACACCTGGAGAGCTGGTGCAGAGAGAATAACCTTCACATCAATGTGAAGAAGACAAAGGAGATGATTGTGGACTTCAGAAGGAACAAAAACACCTACACCCCCCTGAACATAAGAGGATCTGCGGTGGAAGTGGTCTCCAGCTACAAGTACTTGGGTGTACACATGAATGACAACCTCAGCTGGAGCAACAACACCACCAGCCTGATCAAGAAAGCTCATCAGAGACTCTACTTCCTCAG